CTAGGAGCTGTTTGTTTGAGTTCTGGAAACCAATGTTACTTTCCTTGAGCACATTAACTTGATTCTCAAGGTTACTCCTAATTGACACAAGAGCATCACTTTCTTTTTCTAGAGACTCAAATTTGTCACTTAACTCCTTTTTGGTTTCTTTTAGGATGAGAATTTCATGTTGAAGATCTTGGTTATTAACCTCAAGTTTGAGGCTCTCTTCTTTCAAACACAAGGTCTCTTTAAACAAACAATCATATTTTCTTCCTAATGACTCGTATGACAGGTCATCTGACTCGGAATCAGATTCATCAGACATGGGCTGCACAGAGGCAACAAAGGCAACATGTTGGTCATCAACATCAGAGGAAGATGAATCCTCTTGAGACCCTTCACTTTCACTCTCACTCCAGCTCACTTTCATGGCCTTGTCCTTTCCTTTGGAGTATTTTTTCTGATTGTTTGCACAGTCAGCAGCATAGTGTCCAATGCCTCCACATGTGAAGCACTTGACAGATTTTCTGAAATCTTTCGTGAAAGGTTTGACATCCTTATTCCTCTCATTAGACCGATCAGTTGATGGTCTAAACAGTTTCTCACTACCAGAGCTGCCCTCTCTAGCAAACTTTCCCTTATCCTTAAGAATTCTCCTAAATTTTTTGACAAACAAGGCCATCTCATCCTCAAAACCTGAGGATTTTTCATCAACTTTCAGAGAGGAAACATGCACTCCTTGAAGTGCAACATTTTTTGATTTTTTGGAGTCATTTTCTTCCATATTCAATTCCATCTCATAGGTTTTCAGTTTTCCTACAAGCTTGCCAAGCTTAATTTCATTTAAATTTTGGACCTCCATGATTGCGGTTTTCTTTGCTCTAAACCTAGATGGTAGAACACGAAGAATTTTCTGAACAACAAGAAGCTCTTCAATGGGTTGACCTAGACTCATGGCTTCATTTGTGATCATCTCAACTCTCCCATGGAACTCAGAAATAGACTCAGTTTCAGACATCCTAAGTTCTTCAAATTGTGCAAGCACCATCTGAAGTTTTAGGGTTCTAACTTGGTCATCCCCTTCATGAACCACCCTTAGTTTATCCCAAGCTTGTTTAGCATTAGGGATATGTTGTATATGTGCAAATTGTGTGCTAGACAAAGCTGTAACTAACGCATTTCTGGCCTTCTTGTTTGAATATGCACCAAACACCTCAGCTTCAGTCCATTCTGACCTAGGTTTAGGCACAACCTCACCAAAAACAGTCTTGACTGGAGCAACCCACTCTTTTGTGAGAAACTGACTTGCATACTCATCAAGAGCATCAAGAAATATCTCAAATTTTTCTCTCCATGCAGCGTAGTTATTACCGTCAAAATAGGGAGGGGAGTTGCAAGATCCAGCAACTCGATCCCTTTCCATAGTGA